TGTCTTGAGGTGTCTTATGCTCTTTGTATAACCACAGATGGTGTGTAATGATATAAGGAAGAGTGCAAGCTAGAAGTATTGTGGATAGAAGCAGGGTTGCAACCGTAAGTTGTCTCAAACCTTCATCGTTTTCATTCCGGCGAGATTCTATGGCAAATTGGCGAAGTGACCTCAAAAGCATGACAGAACCGACGAAAAGCAAGATTGTTATTACTGTGACATGGAAATGGAGATCTATCTGAAGGAAGACTCTTCGGGAGACTCCGATGAATTCCAGAAGAGTAAAACCTGTGAAGTATAGTGTCGAGACACCAACAAACACGACGATCCTGCGCGTTGTAATGACAGAGCAGTAACGTTGCGGGTGAGTTATGGCAACGAACTGTGACCAAATAAGAGCGAGAACGAGCAACAAGGACAAGCCGAGACCTACGGTCGAAATAGAACTTCCAATTCTTAACAGGCTGTAGTATGAGTGGCCTGGATACCGTGACCATTTCAAATAACTTGCTAGGCGGTAAGCAACAAAGAAAGGCTCGATTACAAGGCCAGTTGTAAAATCAACCAAAGCTAAAGCGATGATGAGATACGAAGCTGGTGTACGGAAGCATCTAAGAGGATCTTTGTAAATGGTCAAAAATAACAGGAGGTTACTAATGACTGTTATCGGCGACAGAATCGCTAAGGAGATCCCAGTGGCGAGCTGGGTGTACAGATAAAACCCAAAGTCGATCGAAGAAAAATTTGATGTTGAGTTTATACTCATGGCTGTTGATGTCTTTGCAGGATCAACAGCATCATCCAAGGAATTCTTTTAAGCTGGCGTCGTAGAGTGGACTTTGGGATGTTGGTCGATCTGTCTTTGCCGTATTTACAAGAAGTTCTGGTCTTGTAAACTGGCAAATTGTAAACATACGTACAGTTCTTCCGTATCGATAATGTCAGCTAGTTTTGATTTGCATACTGAAGGGAAAGCACTGGAATAGCGAAATGAACCGTAAACAGACATCCTTAAGTGTTCGTGACTTTTTTACGTCAATCATATAGATCCTTATTCGATCGTTTTTTAATAAGACTCCGTACTCTAAGGGCAGCCAGACTATTATTACAGTTATTCTTGCACACAAAGATATTGTCAAGTAACTCTAAGATATTATTAATTATATATTCTGGCGTTGTTTCAAGTTCTGGATGACCTCTTACCAACTACCATTTATATAGCATATTTTTATTATGTAAACACAAGTGAAATACCAGGTGAGCTTTTCCGCGAAAACGTGATATCTTCACCCGTGAAATTAACGTTTCTTGGTAAATCGCGCCTTTTGCAAAGAAAGGGAAATTATTTAACCTTTTATTGGTGTTTGTATGAAAATTATAATTTTAAATGGCCGCTTGGAGATACGAAATTTCTCTTCGAACGTTGAAAAATCCAAAATCGAACCAAAACATCTTGTTTCGAACCTCCCAATACCACCACAGGGTGCCCACACAAGCGGCATGTATGGTCGTTTGTTGCAAATATAAAGAAATTTATGGGGGAATATTGAAGAGTCGTAATATCGTAAACTTATATCGAGGAATGTCTATGTTAAGGCTCAAAATAAATGTAAACCTACCTCACTTGCTGTGTATTGTCGTTTCTGTGGTTCTAAATGGCGAATTTAAGCGATTTGGTAGATTTTGCGTTGACTGTTACTCTACTGTATAAGAAAGATATATCTTTATATTTCGAACAAACGACCGGACACGCCGCTTGTGTAGGCTCCCTGTGATACCACTGAAAATGGTTTCAAATCGCCATATGACTATACATATTTATTATCCAACGGTACTTTGTAGAGTACAAATAACGCCCAAAACGAGTACAAATATCGCGCGGTACTTGTACTCCAGAGAATCGGTAAGAAATTCGCCCACACTGAAATCTCTTCGTGCTTTGACGATACTACACAAAAAAACGTTTAATAAGATATATATACTTTAAATGCCTGGAGAATATTACTAAAAACACAGTTGGCCTCACGCACCATGGAAGAGAAAATGGTCATGACTCACATGCTGACCTAGATCAAACAGTGTGTCTGAATATTAGATGGCGTATTTATTCATGAACTATTCATTAGCTTCAGAACCTGTAGAAAAGTGTTTTCTTCCTATTTACGCGTGGACCCCTTATTAAAAAATTTAGAATTCATTTCAAACCAACAATCTCTGACCCTTGTGAGTTCTTTATTTTACTTTCATGTATTAGTGTTAAGACTTAAGAAACTGACAGGGACCTTTGTCAATGTTGCAGATTGGGTAATGTAGCCATGACTCTACAGAAGCAATTACCCGGGTACAATGAACATGATATTCGGTTTTTCCGATCGCTAGCTTTACACTATGTATCTTGATCAATTTTCGGTGTTTTACACCTCATGTTTCCCTTGCTCTAAAGACGACTGTCAATGGCTAATTAGTGATAAAATGACCTTGGATGAATTAAAATGTTTTACGCCACAATGTTGACAGGATGTCAAAGTTGTATCCTGAGCGGGGCACATTTAGTGAATGCGATCAATGTACTGGTTATTCACGTGATTAGAACGTGGCTTAGGCCGGTGGTGTGATCATGCGTGATATATATTTTTTACTGGATCCACTCGTTGATCTATGATTCATTCACGGTCTAGCGCTCATAAACAAATACGCATGTCATGCATCCAATCCAGACACGGATACATTTTCAGTAGGGTGCTAATCAGTTTATCAACTACATCCACTTTGTTGATCTCCGATTCATTCACGGTCTTGCGCTCATAAACAAACAACTTTCTGAAGGCTTTAACAACGGAAGGGAACCGAGATCTCGCTTTTAGTGGCTTGGCAGTGGTTTCAAAACTGGTCAATTCTTGTCAACCATTAGTTGATGTAGGAAAGGCAAGAGTTCAAGTTAACAAAATTACCCTCATCGCGATAGAGCAGAATGAATTTGACGCAACGTGTTCGTTGTGCGGGCTAGTAGTAAAAGCGCAGAACGCTGGATACTCTGTGATGATATTATCTTCCAATCTTTGGCCACCTAGTAGAAATTGTAGCTAAAAAATGGCTGATAAGATATTAATCCCGGTTGTTTATGGGTCCTATTGTGAAAATGCAACTCACCCGGACGGGTATTTTCCTGTACATTCTGTATTTTCAGCTGCAGACCTAACAGATGTTCATGTAAGAGTTTGAAATGTCTCAACTGATCTCGGAAAGATGAAAGAGTATTTGAAGAGACTTTACTTTTGGTTTCTTTTGGGTCCGACTATCACACTGGAATGGCTCCGACGAAAAAGAAAGCTCTGTTGCGTGACAGCGGCGCAAGTCGACGAGGAATCTGCTAACGAGGATGTAGTTAACGAGAGTCGAGGAAATTATATCCAACTCGGGACAAGGGAGGATAATGAAGGTGAATTACAACCTCTAATCCGCATTACAGATAATTCCCGAACTGATTATGAATTGACAAGAAGTGACAACATGCGTAGTTTGTGAATTACAGCGCGTGTGGCGAGGATCTTTCGAAGAATACTTCGTTACTTCCCAGTTGGTGTTTGTTATGTGTTTCTCAGTCTGGCAGCGCCTCCTGTAGGTATATCAAGCGGGGATGGCCTTTTTTTCGATTTGATGAAAATGAAGAAAACCGACAAAATAATTTCTGGGAAGCCCTTGCACCAAAACAGCCTGGACAACAACTTGATCCTGCACCGGGAGGAACTCTGATATCATACATTGTCACTGTATGTTGGCCAGTCTTTCAAATCTTTAGTTTTTTCAGTTCATGTACAGTAGGTTTGTTTGTAAGAGAACCTGGACCGTGTCGAAAAACCTTTCAAAATTAATCAGAAGTGATTGGTTTTCATCAAACATGTATTTGGTTGTTTGCGTGATCGTACCGTATTGTACATATAGCTCCTTTTACAATAACAAAATAATTCAAGCGCCGATTGGCATTTTTTCTATTTTACGGCGTGCAATTTATTGTGCACAGTTTGCAATTTTCTTTTTATTATCATTCTCAACAAGCACCAATTTGTCACAAGGTATGTGTTCTTCATCAGTGTATGTATGATCTGTGCATATGTTGAAAGTGATATAGTAGCAGTGTTTTATTTCATTCTCAATTCTCAAGGCTCCCTTAACAATTTAAAACTTACTGCTCTTCGCACTGCAGTACTTGGCCTCACCTTGGCTCTGAGTTTCAGTTCTTCAATGCCGTGATAATCGGAAAAATTATGAGGCCTCAGGGGTCTGTGTTTGAGGGATTGTCTGAGAAGTGAGACACGATTAATTTTGATTGGGTTAATTGCATATCTTGCCATCTTTCTTCGATTTCATTTTTTACACAATATGCGTGAAAAATATTAATGTGAACTAACAAAACTTTCATAATGAGCCAGATTTTAATTGAATTTTCCATAAAATAGAAATTGACTCGGCCGTGTTCTAGGGAGGTGTGAAAAAAAAAGCGAAATTTTTTTGAGTAGCTGTTACCAGCTTTGTATTAGACCTTGTTGATAATCAGAAAAAAGTAGCAAAGGTACCTTTGGAAAACAAGAATTTGTTATTCCTGTTTTGCACGGATGTAAAACATCAACTAGAGGGAAAAGATTAAAATCTTAAATAAGAACTTTTCAGAGAACCATTCGGAGAATAAAGTACTGGACTGGATAAGGTGTGGTGCAGGAACTGATTTAAATTTAGTTTGGAACCTTGTTCTTGCCACCAATCAAATATTTTGTCTGGGTAAATTGTTTTCCTACTAAATTGAAAACGTTTCGTAACATCATGGGAAAAATTGTTGTACATGATTATTTGTTTTCAATTGTTTACATTATGATGTATTCAAACTTTATAGCCGGGCAATCCTTATCATCTAAATAGGTAATTCTTGTGAAGTATGCAAGGGATCTTTAAATTTGGTAGTACAAGGCAGCACCAATCAGATTGTTTATCATTTTATTGAACTGCGAATCAAAATGATGATGAAGAAAATTAAAAATTTATTAACTTACCCACACGCAGGTTTCCTAGAAAATACAATTTGCGAGACCAGCCGCAATTTGACAGAAATATTCTATGTAACAGCATAAGTATTTCTTATATGTTATATTTTGACGGGAAATCTTAATAATTTACCAAAATATCACAATACACATTTTAATTATTGACATCACAACGTGGAAAACTAATTAGTCCTGATAGGGCCATGTAATGGTTTGCTTTCCTTTTTTACTCCATGTCTATTCAAATTTTTTGTGTGTGTGTCCATTTTTATGCTAGCAATGCTTACCAACCAAAATAATTGGTGTAGGTACTTTTGGTAGAATAGACAAAGGATTTGTAAAATTGATAATAAATGGTAGCACTGTTTAGATCTTTCATTATTTCACTGAATTGCGAAAATGAAAACCGTGAAAATTACACATTTATAAATTTATTTAGAAGTAGCTTTCCTTGAAGATGCCACAAGACCAATTGCAATATTGCAGAAATATATAACCTATGTTTTTCTCAGTTTGCTTTTTTTGAATTGTAAGCTTTTGACTGTTGTCACGTTCCCGATGCCGCAGACACGTGGTGTTGTGCACCGGAGTTCGCCAGTATAACCAAAGTGATGAACTTTAGATAAGTAGCAGCATCAAACTCCTTATTCACTTAAGCTGGCAGTCTTTGTACAGCACAGGCGGTAAAAGCTATAGAACGGATACATGAAGGTTCGATATAAGGAAAACCGAAAGGCTACGAATAAGTGAATAGGGCGAAACTAGAGATAATAAAAATGAGGAATATTGCAAGCGTAACTTACATCGGATCTTGACTCCGGGGTAGAGAACTCCTAAACTCCGTTCGGCTCCGAAATGGTTTCGCTACAATGACTCCTCGCAACTGAACTACGTGCTAATAGAATGCGAATTTAGATCTTACCGTTACAATTTCAACCTCGATGCCTATGTCAGGCATCATATTTAGCACAAGAAAACGAGAGGTGGATTTCTAAACACGTCGTCAATGTCGGGAAAAGCTTTGTGACATTTAGCTGCCTCTACTTCTCCGTGTCAACCAACTTTTTAATATAGTTCAGTAAGAAAAACCAGTGATCATTAGGTTATTTACCGCGATATGATTCTGGAGACAACATGTCTGTTGCGGCGAAGAAGGCAAAGAAGGCAAAGAATACAACCTTGACGTTTTCAGCGTTGTTTCCTCGAGAACCATGCTTGTTACAAGATCAGCCTAGTATCTCCTTAGGACACACTTTTCCTTCACTGGAATCGTTTTTCAGGATGTCAGCAACTACAGAGTCGGAATCGTACTTCCAGGTTTGGATTTTTAATTTTGCGTGACGGGAGGAAACCTCTAAGGCCCTGTCTACAGTCAGATCAATTTTCTAAAAGTAAACATCACAAACTGTTTTTCAGCCCATTCAGTTCCTGCAGTAACGTTAGTTGCCTTATTATCCAACTTCCTTTGCTATGAAATAGTCGAAAGGACATAAGCTCGAAGGTTGAAGTTGTAAACAAAATAAAATAAAAAAAAAAACATGAGCCTTTCTAGTTC